TCATCGGAGCCCCTCTCTCCAGAGGCTTGGGACAGGATTTCTTCTCCCTAAGGTGAACGCAGAAAACCCGTACTGAGCATATGAAAGGCAGGCAGAGCATTCCAGGGTGGAATGGAAGAAAGCAGCATTTTGTTACCATCTTAATAAAAGCTTCTGAGTAAAAAGCAAGTTTTAGAATCACAGAATGGTTTGGGTTAGAAGGGACCTTAAAGATAATCTAGTTCCAAGAGATACCTTCCACTGGACCAGGTTGCTCAAAGCCTTATCCAACCTGGCCTTGAACACTGCCAGGGATGGAGCAGCCACAGCTTCTCTGGGCACCATGTGCCAGCGCCTCAGCACCCTCATAGAACTCTTCATAGAAGACTTTTTTTCCCCCAATATCTAATGTAAATCTCCCCTCTGGCAGGTTAAAGCCGTTCCTCCTTGTCCCGTCACTACATGCCCTCATAAAAAGTCCCTCTCCAGATTTCTTGTTGGCCCGCTTTAGGCACTGGCAGCTGCTCCAAGGTCTCCCTTGAACCTGCTTTTCTCCACACTGAACCAGCCCAGCTCTTTAAGTCTGTCTCCAGAGCAGAGCTGCTCCAGCCCTTGGAGCATCTTCGTGGCCCAGATTTGTTTCAACTGTCCTGCTTCTACAGTGAAAGATGAATAAAACAGCCAGAATTTGCTTCTGTTAAAGCCACACACCAGAGTGTGTGAAGAGGTGTTCAAGTGACCTGTATCTTTCCCCTTCTTTGCATGCAGTCCTTGTCACCAAGCAGAGGAAGGACCCCCACCCCTTTACCACAAACAATAAAACCTGACTGCTTCCGTGCAAGAGCCTGGCTGCAATGAAGCCCCCAGAGACACAGGTCCTCCATCCTGGTATAAAACACTTCTACTTGCTGCACTAGATGTGACTGTAACATGGTCACACTGAATTTGGCCGTTTAGCCCTACCCACACACAAGGGCAGAGTTGCCTGGGCAAGATGATGTCCTCTCCCAGGTTTTAATTGCCCCACGCAGGACAGCGATTCTTACCTGAAGATCCCGATTTTTAAGGACACCCATCCAAAATGCCTCCTGGCAGTGGTTGAACGCCAGCATTGCCTTCACTCGGTATACAAATTGTTCCAGAGACTTCTTCAACAAAGGCACGTGGTTGGTCAGTCCAATGTCTTGGTGAATCTAAATATGAACAGTAAAACATGGCTGTGATTTTCTTGCCTAAGTATTCTTCCTATTTAAAAAGCCAGTGGTTTCACCATGGTTACACAGGTGGGAGGGATGGGATGTGATCCCCACAAAGCTCATCCAGATCATGTAATTTCTTGGCCAAATTCTGCTATAGCTTTTGTTAAAATAATAAAACTCAAATAAGCATTTTTTTTAGCAACAGATAATCACACCATTCCAGTCCAAAGCAAAAAGCAATGCTACAAGTGGCCAGACTCCATAATTACTACTAGAAAGCAAGATAGCCACAAGTTCCAAGTTAATGTTGCAGGGAGTTTCATGTCAGAATATTGCCTAATTCCCAAGCACAGAGAAGAAAGAATGAGAAAGGTGTTGAATAAACCACTACGATGACAATCTTTTCTTGCTCAGTGCCTGATGCAATTCCTTTACACTAGGTACACGGAATGTGTGTACACTATAAACTCCAAAGGCAGCTTGTCCAGACCAAACAAGCACTGGCATTTGGAGAACTAGGACAGGAGAGAACAGATGGAGTTGCTGTAAGCAAAACCCAGCCGAGGAAGGGCAACTATGCCAGGTATTGTATGAGATGTAGCTCTGGGTGAGCATCTTTTCCTGCTAGGCTTGGATCTGCAGTACACTATAGTCATTGCTAAACCAGAAAACCTGCCAAGAGCCATAAACAATTCTGTGTGCATTAAGTATTTGCCTCTTTCATGAGACTACTTTGTAACCTTCTTTCAAATCATTGAAAACCTCGCTAATGACACAATGAATGGTCACAGTGCTCCCGGGTCTTGGAACCTGCCCAACTGTCTGCAGGCAGTTTGGAGACCATGGCATTTCGAAAAATCTGTCTCCAGAAACTGTCCTTATGCCCAGCATTAGATACAGAAACAGAAGAGAGGCTCCGTGTGAGAGAATGAATGACAAATACTTAGGAAATTATAAACAAAGCCCACTGCTATTGTCTGGCGTGTGATGCTCTGAGCACCCCTATTGAGGGAGAGTAGCAAACCTTAAGTAACACTGCATGGTACCTCAGTGAGCAAGTGAAATCAAGACTGGTTTAACAAATGTTGGTGTCAACTCCTCTTCAAACAGATTTGGAGCATTCATTCCATACATTTATTTGCCTAGATTCAGCTGCTGCCTCCTCATTCTTGCAAAAATGATTTGGCCTAGCGACCTAATCAGATTGCAACAGATAGAAGAGCAGTGGTAAAACACAGGTGTTCACTAATTGCAGTTATATGCTAACACGGACTATGGGCCACAGCACTTGAAAATGCTGGTCAAATGCAAAGACATCACAAGCTGCAGTATGTTATCCTGTCTACAAGGTGAATTGTGACTTTAAAGCAGGCATGAGGATTTCACTGCAAACACAAGAAGGGCTTTTTAACATCTCCAGGGTTTGTGCCAGATTCTAATTCTCCCCTATGCTGATAGCTGTACTGGCATGTTCTGATCCCCAGCTAGACTTTTATGCTCCTGATGCCGGCTCTGGACTAAATGGGTAGCAGATCTAGCTTGGAGAACCATGCCAATAGCTGGCTTTCTCCCTTCAACAAATTTAGCAAAGCCCGTTCTTGGACATGTGTTCTTCAACCTCTTAGGAGTCTAACAGGAACAAAGCAGCACACATGAAGTTCCTTCTAACTGCCTTTTCCCATGTGACTTTCTCTCGTGACAAGCACTGGCTCTCCACACTGTGAACAGGGCGCTAATCCTCTCCTTCCTGCCTGCCCCAAACCTCCTACAGAGACTGTCAGACTGCATGTTCCAATGTTCCTCATGTCCCTTTGCCCTCTTCCCTAGTATCAATGTATCAAGGCCAAAAAGGCACCTCAAGAGGATTTTGAGTAAGGTTTTCCCTTGTTCACCTCCTGTTGCTGATTCCTCTGACTCTTTAAGGCTGTTGATCTTTGCCAAAACTTCTCTCCCATATTACCAATCTGGCATCTAAACTTCATGCAAGGTCTCTAATATCTCAGCTTGTGTTCTCAGAAACACTCTCTTACAGAGGCCAACAACCAAAGATGTGAAGAGCCTCTGCCCTAAAGAAGTAACCTAACCTAACCAGACATCCAAGTTAGCTACTTTCAGACCAAATACTTCAACTTTTGGGCCATTAAACCAAGGCTGTTGCTCCTCCTCTCGGAGTGTTTGCTTGTACAGATACTGCTGGAAGCTTGCAAATAGAACCTACCTATGCCCCGAATAGAAAATAAATCATTCTTAGGACAGGAGTTTCTACTGCAACTCAAACTTATCTTACCTTGGAATGGCCACACATGTGATGAAGTTGTCTGGTACTCAGCTGCAAGGTTTTCAGCAAACTCTGCACATCATCCTGCAATAAATAAGTAGACCAGCAAATAATTCTCAAAGCATTTTTCCATAAGGGAAACAGAATAATGAAACATTGTTAGTCCCAGCAATCCTTTCAAAGGGTTATGGGATAGATATGATGCACATATGCAGGAAACATCAGATAAACAGGATTAAGCCATAGGAGACTTGTACTGTGCATCTAAGTAGCTGGTAATTAAAGCATGACCTCATGTCATAAGGCCAACCACTTGGAACTGAATTTTCAATCAGTTTGGATTGAATGCACGTCAGTGGAAAAGGGGCAATAAAAATCCAAACAACCTTGTCACATCTTGCCATGAGCACAACCTTCTGAAATAAGGGAACCAGAGGAAAAGTACAGAACATACTGCTACACTGTGGTATTTGAAATGCATCCAACATGAACTCTGGGTATCAGACCTCTCTGAGAAAATGACATGACACTTTACTGTCCAGTGGCAATGACTACATATCTGTTTGATGACCTCATTCCCTCAAACATCCATGAGAACACATTTTACACTTGTAATAGAAAGGAGTTACCTCTTAGAGAGACAATAAGTGAAGACTAAACCAAAGACTGAATCTCACTGGCAAAGCTGGGCTGCCTTGCGACAAAGCAGGGGGAATAAGTGAACTGTTCTTGCCATGTAACACAGCAAGGCTGGCCTCTCCATCTGCACGCATGCATGTTGTCCTGCTCAAAGCTCCAGGAATTATTGCAAAGACACCAATGTCACTGTCCATCTGGACCACAAGCCCTCACCAACCTGACCACTCAAATGAGCTTCCTACTCTGTGAGTGACACCTTTGTGGTAACTCATTTTGAAGGAGAGAGACTGAAAGGATTTCTTTTGCCAATAGTGAAGCCATCCAACGAGAAGAGGGATGGCAAGTTGGGAAACAGTGATCTGTTTGCTGAGAGAGCACTGGCTGTGCAAGTAAACAGGGCACAGCACAGCTGGAGACATTAGATGTGTTTGTCATGAGGTGTCTGTCACAAGTGTCATGCCAGCATATCAACATATGACAAGACAGGACTCTTCATCTAGCAAGCATCAGTCCTGCTTCCCAGCTGGTTCCAAGACAGCTGTCTCCAAACAGCTTACCCTGTGTTTTTTAAAGCTGTAGTCCAGGAGAGGCATGGCAAGCTTCAGAAATGCTTCTACGAAGAGACGGCCGTACTAGAAAAGAATGATAAATACGTCGGAAGGGTAGTTCAAATTCCTGTTCAAAGAACCATCACAAAGTCAGATAAGATAATGACAGATTCTTTCAATCTATCCCAGAAACTATTCTTGCTTTGTAAAAGACTAGACTCATGTGAAGACTGTACTGGAATATATAGGATCAGTAAAGTGCCCCACTTCAATCACTGCAAAAAGAGGCAAGAAGGATAAGGTCTCATTGTTGTATACATCCCTGTGTGTATTCACCACAAACTGGGAATAAAACTGAACTAACTACAAAATGTTAAAATCATTATACATATACATGAGTCAGAAAAGGGAACGTTGCAGAGGGACACATGATCTCTCTGGGCTCTGACAGAGACCTGTCTGCTGAGATGTCTCCTCTCATTTGGACTGCCATGGGGAGGAAAGAGAAAGGGGAAAGGGTCTGTAAGTTCGCTGTGGTCGAGCCATATGATGAGTGGAAGACAGTTAAAGGTATAAGAAACAGTCTCTGCTTCTTCCAGACAATTCTGTAACCACCTCTACTCCATTGGAGGCAAGGATTCAAGAAAGCTAGTACTTAAACTGCTCTCTTCAGTTATTTTGAATTGTTGCTTACCTTCAGGCAGACACCGAGTACAGGCCTGCTGTCAAATATCTGCTTGGTTGAGAGGAAAAAAGAGCCAGATCAGTCCACAAGTCTAAAGGAAACAATGTGAGCACATCAGCCAATTCATTACATACTCTCACTAAAGTGTGAAACCTGTTCTAAGGCATCTGCTGTCCTCAGCTTTCAACAGGGACCACGTAAGCATGTGAAATGCAGTGGCTGTCAGGTGGAAGTACTTGGCAGGATGGCTGTTAGGTGATCTTTGTGCTCATGAACCAAGGTACACTGGCTTTGCTGGGAACGAACCTGAAGGTAAAACCAGAAAAACAACAACAATCTCACCTTGACCAAGTTAATGAGGATATGGAAATTCCGCACAGCGATGTTCCACCGCAGCAGCTTCTCCAGTTGCACCTAATGGGATGCAAGGAGACAAGAACCCAAAATGGTGTATTTCCTCTCACCTTGCTGGATGTTCTCTCAGCATTTTGCTGCTGCTGTTGTTGAAAACAGAGGAACAATGCTTCAACACAGGAGATTTATCACAGCAATAACACTTAATGGCAATTCCAGCCTGATCAGTGCCTGCATGGCTTAAAATGCTGAGAGTTAACACACTTCCTTTCTCTCAGAGCAGCTCTTGGTTGCAAAATAACTTTGTGCTCCCACACAGGTGTGCAAGACCAACTGCACAGCTCAGTGTTTTGCAGAGTACTACCTCTTTTCTGGTTACAGCTTCTGCTGGGTTTACTACATTTTTGACATGGTGCAAACCAGTAAAAAAAAAAAAATGCTACTTATATGTTACCCTGTATATCTGCTGAATATACCCTGTATATTCATTCTGGTGGATGAAGCTGTCTGACTGCACTTCCTAGGCAAAGTTCAGAAGATCCTTTCCAATTTATACACCTTCATTGTACTGGACAGTTTAACTTAGGTCTTCTTCCCCTCAAGGAGTCCAGTGCATTTATTTTCCTACCTCACTTGAGTCTGATGGTTTCCCAGCTGGGATGCTTTTCACTGAACAATCTAGCTGAGCCATCATTACTCGGAAGAAAATCAGGAATGTCTGCCTGTGGAGAAAGTGAGAGCAAAACTAAAAGCCAGCTCTGAACACCAAGATAGGCTTCTTGTCCCCAGATCAATGTGGAAAACTGGAAGGTTACTCAGCTGGACATTCTTTTCAATAGGAAATTGCAGGAGATTGACCCTAGAACTCATAAGCACATCCAGCCCAGCCCCAGTGCCCAGACAGATGGAGAATCCTGGGAAGTCACTATCACTTCTCCAGTATGAACCAGACATAGAAATCCCCCATTCTTTTGTAGCTCTAGGGGTGCACAGTGGAAGGTTTGCAGCTCTCCGCATAAGATGATTTTAGTAGTTCCAAAGTGCAGGAACTTTGGCCATCCCTGGATAAATTGTGTTTCCAAATTCTTATACCATGAGCAGAAACATGCTCAGTGTGCTTTTGCACACTGCCTATCAGCCCAGGATTGCCTACAGGCACCTCAGGACTCTAAGGCTGACTTTTGGAGTGCTTTATAACCACCAGAGTAGCACAGAAAGAGGCAGCATACCTGACAACAGATAGCAGCCCATTCTTCAATTAAAATAGCTCGCAAATAATAAACTCAGCATGGTGTTAATGTACAAGGACATTCCACCTTAAAGTTAACCATGTACTAACTTGTTGCATGCTGCCAAACAATGTTTACAAATGCCTAGAGTAGTCCACAGCAGTATTAACATGAAACCATAATAGACCAAGAAAATTAAATGTTAAAAAGCAGAAATTGCCATTTTGCATCTCATGAAATTCTAAGTTTCTACTGATATAGTTACCTGGTTAGAGTAGGGTAAGTGGAAGAACATCCATCTTTGGCAGAGTTGATCAGTTCAGGGACACCAACACTTGAGATTTCTTCTATAGCTTTCAGGATATTATCTGTGTGCTCCAGGTAGACACTAAATCCAAACCCATCTTAGTTAATCAATAAATATTATGCAGAATAATACAGCAAGTTCTTGAACACTGCCCTATCCGCAACAACATGGCCTAAAATTGTCAATCTCATTCTTATGCCAAAGGCAATCATATGTAGGAAATCCAAAGCAATATTTAGAACTGTCACAAGTAATGTCATTGAAAGATACCAAACATGAGGTCCAAGCATGTTTCTACACCCAATGGCTAACAGAATTCTTCCTATCACTCACTGTCTGTCAATGCAATGTAGGCCAAACTCTGTAAGTGTGAGGGTTTTGACTGAGAGGGGTCATTCCTCTGCAGCAACAGGAACTATCAGAAAATGAGTTTCTCAGCATTGAGGCAATGGCTTGAGCCTTACCAGAGCAGAGTATGCAGTGCACTGTTGAACTGGTTGCCCTTCTCTCGGTCTCCATTAGGCCTCACCCATGACTGGCAAAGGAACTGCTTTGCTAGTGAAGCTGTAAAAGATAAGGAATAACTTACTGAAGGAAGAATCCAAGACAACTTCTTTCTTCCCTATAATGGCAGTGTGTCCAAATGGCTTTTTGAAAGGTCATAGTATAGCTACTCCTCAATATGCCTGAACTTTGATAAGTCAAAATGCATTTCCCCTAAAAAGCAGTAAGGCCACAGGGACATGTATCATAACAAAATATATTCATATCCAGCATGTTCTGGTCTGGAATAGCTGATGTGAACATTCCGTGAGCCATCTCTGGACATTTCATCCTAACAAGTTTATATTAAACCTTATTTGTTTGATAGTTGTGTGCCAACCTTTTCATTTTAATTAGCCAATATGCAATCCTTAGGGCATACATTTCTAGAAATGGAATTCCAGTAACAAGTGGCTTGACTTTTTGGCCACAGTGCTATAACAATAAACGTGAACAGACAAGTTTACAGATTCCTTAATTCAAAACTGCTAACAAACCTTCTTCTCTCTTGTAGAAATGTTTTAAACCAGGAAATTATTAGTTAAAATTGGTTATTCCCTGCCACAAGCAGTGGGCAGTTCTCCTACTATGGGACTTTTAAAAAACAGTAAAATAATCTCAAAGTAGGGAACTCACAATTCTGAGTGACTACTCTGAGGACAAATTCTAGAGATGACCCAGTATGACAAGATACGGCTGAGAGAGGTAACTGTCCGGAGTCTTTACTTCAGTGTGTGACAAAGTGGAGACCCAATAATTTTCTTGTATATTCCCTGCAAGCATGTCTTACCTGCTTGAATGCTGTTCCTCTTACAGTGGGTCCTAATCCATGAGAAGAGCTCTCAAATGCAAATGTTTGTTGCATGGAGTTAAGAACATGCAGGTTTTCCTCCCTCTGCCCCGAAGTAACAGCTGTATTTGAATTCATTTCCATAATTTTTAGAAATGAGCTGTCATAGACATCTGTACTACACTAGGAAGCTACATCGAATTAAGTCTATGATCACCTCCATAATCAGTGATTAAACTGGTATAAAATTGAACAGCAGGCTTGTTCTTAGAACTGTAAAAAGCTGTGAAGCTTTTATTTTCAAAAACACCAGCTAAGAAAGTGAGGCACAGCAAAAAAAAATAGCAAAGGGGTTCCAATATATTTACTGCTATTCCTTTTTTAACAGCTAGGACTGTTCACCCAGCAAGATTACTAGGACACCATGGGAAATCCTTCCCTCAAAAGATGCACTACAGAGACAGAACCCAAGATTTACAGGCAAAACCAGCATGAAAACTGATGCGAGATTAGAGGTGCTTCAGGCATTACCAATTTTCTCTTTCTTCCAGCCAGTCACTGGTTTCTCAGCGATGGCGATCAGGAGCTGAGTGAGGATGAATGCACAGTGGAAGCTGGGAACACTCTGCTGGAAATTCAGCAGGTAGTGAAAACTCTCACTGGGGATGACAGGAAAGGGAAAAGGTAAAACCAATGTAGATAATCACCCAGAAACATATAAATAAAAAGGAAATATTAGACTACTTCAGATACAAGGTGTCCCTAGCCCAGTATTTTGTCTCTGGCAGTGCCCTTCTGAAGAGGGGTAGTCAACCACAAGTAGATAAAAATTCAGCCACTGCGAAACTTCTCTCAAGCCCCAATCACATTAATTCCAGCAACATCCTTATATACTGCTTTTGCTTAGTGTTCCTGTAAAGCATTGTAACTATCCAGAACATGCTTATTCCTTCTGTGAATCCTACTAATCTCTTAATCTCAAACAGCATTCAAACAAATTAGATCCATAGATTAATGCATACTTTATAATCCAGTAGCTCCTTTTCATTAGGTTTGACTGCATTGCCATTCAATTAAATACAAAACTCTGTTTGAAGCTAGCTAGCTCTATGAGAGCTCCCAAATATACATTTACCCATAATGCCCACACAAAATAGGGGAAATTGCTTGAAATTCATCCCTTTCAGAGCTTGGGAAATACTGACTCTACCTTATCAGCTCCTCAAGAAGAAGAAATTCTGTCTCTCCTGGTTTTAGTCTGTCTGCAAGCACCTGGAGAGCTGACCTTAGCAAGTCAGTATTTTCAGGCTGAGAAAAACCATTCCTGAGGGGGAAAAGAAAATAAAAAAAGATCCAGTTCATCACCAGACTAGAAGGAAGAAAGGTATCAGATGCCAAAGCATATTTTTGCAACACTAAAAATAAAGAAACTGGATATGCAAGAAGAGCCCTGAAATATGAAAGTTATAAGAAATGAAAGTTAAAAGAAACAAAAATTGAATGGGAATGGCAAACCTTGTGCACACACGACAGAAACTTTTCAGTTCACAAAAAGCTTCTATGATGTTATCCTGGATTATATTAGCAGATGCAGAGGTCAAACCCAGGCTGCACCAGCACTGCTGTGTTTGACATTTAGGAATACAGTTCAAGTGCAGCAGCAGCACATGGCTTTTAGTCAATGAAGTACAGATTCATCCTTTCCCATTGGCAAAAGAAATTCTTTCATTGCTCAGGATTCAGGCAGTGACAGTTCAGCAAAGGATGAGGGGACTTGTTAAGAAATTCCAAGATCCCTGGGCAGAACAGGAGTTGCACAACTAGGTATGCCAGTATGCCACTTATGCTAGTCTTGATCCAAAAGCTCACTGAATTCAATCCAGTTCAGAGCTTTATCACCTGTGGTTTTAGCTCAGCTCAGGATCACACAATGAAGTTTGACATAACTATAAAGTGCTTAAAAGTCTCCATCCATCGCAGTGTGTTGTTCTGTGTGGCTGACAGGCCATCTACTGGGTACAAACATTTTGAAGAGGAGGAACAGGAGGAAGAAGCAATAAGTGGACTTTGCTCATTTAGGTGACTATATACTTTTTTGTTCAAACTTACCAAGCAAATAGGGAGCGAGAAGTTAGTAACAGCTGTTGGTAACAAGAAGACATCAGCATGTGCTCCTGGATGTTCACTCCTGGTTCATCTTCCGCACCCTGATTTTGTATAACTGCCTTTAATACAGAACAAATAATTCATTAAACACTAATCCAAGGAAAGATAATGGCACAAGAATCCATTTCCATAATTCTATGTTTAAAAAACCTGAAGAAAATGAAGCAACTCTCTTTTTTCCACAAAGAAAACTAAAAATACCTTCAAAGTTGACAAAATTTGACATTTTTTTGAGTCAAAATTGCTGCCCACTCACCTGGAAGTAGTTGTGCATGTTCTCCATGTGATTACACAGTGGTTTTAGTAGCTTGACTACACACGTAGCAACTTCCTTGGGGGATCTCTGACACAGGTGGGAAAAGCCAATATCCCTGTAGCTTCTTTCCTGCAGCAAATCCAAAAAACTAAAGTCACTTCATCAGCCTTACTTGAGAATAACTTCACATCAAGCTCTACCTCTAAGACTGCTTCTGAGCAGTGGAATTCCTGATGTCAATACCCTCTATGAGGAAGCATCAAAGAGTAAGAAAGTTGGTAGAAAGACAAGGAGAAAGAACACTGAATCTGATAGTCCATCAGGTTGTAGCAAATTTCTCCTAGTTTAATGCAGTGTCCAAACACTTACTTTCCTCCTGAAGGCGTGAGCCAGGAATGCAAGGAGTCACTGCACTCAAGAATCTAAGACTAAGTCTTTAGTCTTCTTCTAAAGACTGCAGAAAAAGCAGAAGCATGGATGTAGCAGCTTCTGTTGGATGCAGCCTGTCTGGCCTGCCTGAGCTGAGCTGCTCCTTGAACAGCAGAGCCAGTGTCCCCAGGGAGGGCTAGGAAAAGAGCTGCTCGAGTTTTGAGGCTGAAACGCTTTCCCTCTGTTATATACCCTTTCCTCAGACATGCAGAGAACCAGATACTACAAACATTTCAGCAAGGGAAGTGGTACAGAAGTCTGTTTTGAAAGAGCAAGTGCTTCTCTGACACACAGCTGCACTCAGACTGACAGTTCACTGAAAATTATTCTGAAAACCTTTTCTCTTGGGAAAGGCCTGAGGAGGCCACTGATGTGCTCTGCCTCAGCCCTACACCCATTGGCTGCTGCAGTACTTGCCTTCAGAAAGGGCACTCTCCTTGTGGAGCTCGGAGTCAGCACATGCTCCAGCTTCCAGCACAGGTCATCCAGAAGGAAGCTAAGTTCAGCAGGCCCCAGCTGCACAACTTCACAAAACTGCAATTACAAGAACAGTCAATCCCAAGACCCTGATGTAATTGTAATGCCTTAAAGCTCAAGTTCACCCCCTCCATTTCCAGTTACAACTTTTGAATTAGTTAACCTCAGTCAGGGACCTATTTGATAGATACTACAGTTTTATGTCTCCCCCATTGCAGGTATGGGGCATCAGTTCTGGTTACTTGAAGCGTGAAGCAAGCCTGGTGCTCTCAACACAGCTGAGGCAACATCAGTAACAGAGAACTGATTTATATACATTGACACTGCAAATTAGCTCCTAAAGATAAAAAGGGGTTTAAGCCCAGAGAGTCACAAAATTCACCAGTTGAGTAACAGTCAAGAAGCAATTTGAAATAATGACACAGAGACTTGTCAAACAGTCTTCCAACTGGCCTGTGAGCTGCATGCACCCATACAGCTGTCCTTGGAGCAGGCCAGGCTGTACTCCAGCCTGCCATAGCCTTTTCACATTTTATAAATCTTACTGTAGCCTAACACAATTAGACTCCAGATGGACTCAGCCTGACTACAAAGAGGGTAACAAAATAAGCACTTCTGCTTTCCATAGCAGTGCAGTTTTATATAAGCTCCCAGATGATAAACAGGACCCTGCTCACTGAGGGCACATCCACGACACCAGTCCTAAATTCATGCTGAGTTTCTGCTCTGTTGATGCCTTGAGATACTTGGCTTTTTGCAACAAAGGCTTTACTTAAATGCAATAGGTTCTTTTTAACAGGCAAGCTGCCTCTTAGCAGTGTTCAATATTAAAGCCCCTTTCTTCACATTAGGTCTATATATGTTAATGGAACAGAAAGGACAGGACCTCTGAGAGGGCCAGTTACATAAAGCCTTAATGGTACGGATTTACTCTGTTCCATTTACCTCTGTATGCATCTCTGTGTCCAAGACAGACTTTGTCAGCAGCCCACAGTGGAGCACAGTGAACACCTCAAGGTCTAACTCTCGGAAGTACGGGCGATAGTTCTGCAGCTTTGCCAGAGGATTTTCTGCCTCTCTCTCAGCAGTCTGAAAAGTAAATGGCAAAACTAAGATTGCAACCTGGAAGACTATAAGACTTTCTCACTCCAATAAAGCTACTTCTTTCACACAGTTTTCCATATTTTGTGCCAAGTTGAAGAAAAGACTAAGAAGAATTCACAATATCCAGTAGAGAAACAAGCACTAGAATCAGAAGCATTTTCATTTTGAACGGTACAAGTCACTAAAAATTTTCTAGGGAAAATACTTAGGAAAATGGAATAACCTTTGCCATCTCCTTTCTGTGGATCAGTGGCCATTGTGAAACCCCTTCTGGACTTGCACCTTAAGCACCCATAAGCACCACGAGGGGCAGGTGTCAGAAAGCAGAACTGAACACCTTGACTGACTTTTGAAATTAACAACCTCTCCCTCAAAGCTCTTGTTTATACTTGTATGTCATCTTCCCTAGTCTGTCTTTCTTGCAAGTCCCCAGGGGTATACACATACCTTCTCCAGCTCAGAGAGCTCAGTATCAGGCTGGTTTCCCTCAGAACTGTCATCTGCTTGAGAACGATCAGCAGAGCTGGCTTTGCTGCCATCGGTCTTTTTTTTCTTTCCTTAAAGAAAAAAGCAACTTCAGAAACAAAGGCTACGCTGTGCTCAACACCAGACAGCACTTGCAGGCAGGGAAACGGCACCAGCTCTAAAAAAGCATGGCACATGCACAGGTTATGCGTCATCCATAGCCAGGATCACAGTCCAAAAGAGAGTCAAATGCATTTGGGGCTGTCACACAATCAGTTTCTCTTTTATAAAATCACAGTAAGAAATTAAAGCAAGTCTATCTGTTCTTACTGTGGTTTAAACATTATGAAATGATTGAAAAAATGAGTGAGACATCATCTTAAAAAACATTTGAACCCAAATTTAATGATTCTTTTTCAGACACATTATTGAGAAAAGGAGAAAACCTGGAATAAGAAGTTAAGACATATCTACAAAAGGATCTTGCAGGGATGTCAAGCCAACAGCTTGAGCTGTTCTAATGGCTCAGGGTTAGTCCTGCTCTTCCCTCTACATCTTTCTTCTGTCCCCAGGCATACACACCTGACATTTGCCTTGCACTGAGACTCAGGAAGCCCAATCACTGGTTAAGCAGTGAACTTGTTAAAATAGGAAAAAACTAACCTAGCAAAAAGTAAACACTTTCAAACTTCTTTACCATTTTTTTTTCTCAATGGACCAACAGCATTAGTGGATGATACAGTCTCCAGGGCTTCCGAATCAAAAGCAGCTGGTGGTGGGACATATCCAGGGGTTGCTGAAAGAGCCAAAATGTAGAAGTTGGATTAGTTCAGCTCCTGAATGACAAAATATAGGCAAGATCTACAGGAAGTACCATACATTTCACCACTGTGGTGAATGTCCATCTGGTCTTACGTTTAGGTGCATTTAGCTCCGATTAGCTCAACACTGCACTGGAATTACAGCACTTTGCATTCCTCCAGCAAGGGAGGAAAACAAGCACTCAGATGCCTAAGGACATCTGTCCATGTTATTGAAGCCTGAAGGGCTGTTCTAGCACATCTTAGCCCTATCTGTGCTGGCCTTGCAGTGCTCTCTAGCAGCAGAAGGGTGTTGAGGCTGTGTTTTATTTCAGATGAAGTTGGTCTTTTGGTTTACAAACACAGGTCTTAATGGATAGCTTGTGTAAGGGTATGTGGAAGATGATAGTGTATTCTTCATTACATTTATGCAATCAAACACCCTTTCAGTGTCAAAGGCGATAATAGTAATGGGGGAAGCCATAAACAAGGACAGACAAAAACCTGGTAGACAAGAGAGAATGCAGACAATACCAAAGATCAAAAGTCTCCAGTTTGTAATTGATAGGCCGTTAAGAAACTTCAGGCATGGCTTTAGGAATGGACACCTGGACTTTGTAAGTGATAAAATGGGAGGAAAAAGAGGAACTTGATGATGTGGGATATTCTGATGGAGGGGGAAGGGTAGAACTATGCAAATTAATGCAGGAATGTGCAGGGAAGGAAGTGGGATGGGGAAGAACTAAGAGGGGAATAGGCAGAAATAGTGTCAAAGGGGCTGGCCATGTTTACAAGGGAATGGCACTGCTGGTCAGTAGAACTGACTAGTCAGTGTGCTTGTCTGGCTGAACCCGTGCCTGATCAGCCTGTGCAGGCCCAGAAGGTACAAAGGTTTCATACTCACCTGCCAAGCATTTCCCCAGCACATTCTGCAGTTCTGTGATGTTCTGCAATCGAGTCAAAACTTTCCCCTTCATCTCAGCATCCTGTTGCTGGCAGAAGGCATTTACAACCTAGAGATACAAACCAAACTCACTGACATAGGGAGATTTGTATCCACCTTTTCTTTCCTGAATAACATTCTCAAGTCCTGAACACAGCACAAGCACAACATAGCACAAGTGGCCTGTGTGACCAGATCCAGACTGCATGAACAAAGCTGTTCAGAAGCCCATGAGAACATGGACATAATTGGTGCAATCTACAAAAAGCGACAGAGCAACAACTACAGCTCAAATATTAACTGAAGAAGAGGAATTAGCAGGCAGCACATTGTCTCTTTCTGTGCTGCTTGTGGCTCTGCAGAGCCCTTGGCACTTTCCAGGTCTTCCAGGAAAAAGGCAATCCTGGGAGAAGAGCAGGAACAAGGAGGACTGGGGATGCAGAACTGCATCAACTCTAACAACTCATGTTATCAGAATAACCCCAGCAGGGAACATTCCCACTGACCATCAATATTAGCAAATACATCGGCAAATCCGCTTGAAGGCACCGCATTTCGTCCTTCTGTAAACTCACAGAGGTGATGAACAAAGCACAAAATCACAAACTTGGAAAAGCCACAGTCATCACAAACCATGTACAAACTGCAGCTGAGCAGCAGCTGAAAAACTCACATCAGCAAAGCAGTCCTTAGAGCCCCTGACCAAAAAAGCAGAGCTGCTGCTAGCAGCAGGATAAAGGATAAAGAATAATGAAAAGAAAAACACAGAGAGATTATCAGGACCTTGCTGGAGAAGGTTTTCAAGAGGCAAGACTCTTCTTCAACAAGAATTGTACCAGTGAAGCCCAAGATGAGTGTTTGTAAGTCACTCCAGCAGCTGCAGACAAGGCTCTACTCACCTCACGAAACCAGTTGAGAGCATAGAACAGGATTGAGCACAGAAATTCCCTTTCCTGCTTGGACAGAGAGTCCAGCTTCCCTTCAACCTCCAGGTTAGTCAGGTACAGGGGGCAACCTAAGACAGCAGGAAGAGAACATGTTGGACTGTGTTTGCTACCCACCCTTTGGTCTTTGTGTGGACAGTTTCTTATGCACCAACAATCAGTGTAAGCCTTAATCAATGCCAATGGTTATTTGCAGAAAGCTTCACCAGCCACTCTCGACAAAGCAATTGTCTCCCCTGCCTCCCTTCCACTGTGGACAACAGAGCATCTCAGCCCCTTCACAAACTGCACAATTCTTCCTACAACTGCAGAAAGTCTTTACAGATCTGGGACAGGCACAGGTCAGCAGCCAGACTCTACAAAAGGTCTATTTCCCATACCTAATAGGGCATCGATCTCCTCCAGGCTTCCACTGTTTTGCTCTGCAGTGTAGAACCTCAGCAGTCGGAAACAGGGTGACAGACACAGTGGTGACACTACCCTTGGGGGGGGAAAAAAGTAAAAGGAGCAGGTCCTATGTTATATATACCTCCGGAATATCCATCACTTTCCCATTATATCTTATGTCCTCCCTGTGCCACCTTGCCTACACCTTCTACTTTGCTTCTTGCAAATCCCAGCAACAAAGAACAGAAATGCACCATTATGGTTAAAATAATAATACAAAAATAAAAATGACATCACCAGTTTTCTGGAAAAGCAGATAAGGGCAGAAAACCAGCTGTAATGAACAAAAATGGGGTCAGATTTATTGCTGGTAGAAATCAAAGTTGAATAAGTCAGAATTAACTATAAGAAATTGTGCAAAGCACTGCTGTGAGCAGTGGAGAAACAACCTTGAATGTTTTCTAGCATGCCACTGCTCACATTCTGAGTGAGATTAATTTTTCCATAGGTGCATGTAAAGAACTATCTGTTCTTTTATTTTAAAGTGATCCTTTTGTAATTAGAATTAAAATACCAACAAAACCTTATGACAATAAAATTACACAGGATATGAAGGTTAAGAAAAAAAAAATATGAAGGTTAAGAAAAAAAAAACTAACTTATTTTTCACTTTGATGCCCTACTGTTTAATTACACTTTTCTTACTTTTACATAACCCTGTTCCATTTTCCAAAGACAGAGCACTTATTTTCCACTCAAATTTCACTTATGGCTGCATGTTTTCTGGAGCACAGTCTATGTTGCCCAAGTACAACTGAAAGTGAGAAAAACAGTGTACTGTTGGTGCACACTAAGTCCTTAGTGACTCTATTTGAGAATCATTGCTCAAAACACGAATTTTGCCACCTCAGAGTTGCCTATCTATCTCAATCTGGCATTCAGTATCGCCATAACATCAGAAAAAAGAGCTCCTCTTCTCATATACATATCTTACTAACCCAAGATCACCTAAACAGCCTGAGCCAGGACTGACTGCCAGTTCCCAACCAGCTTTTGCCTCTAGACCTATCTAAACATATTGAACGGCAAGAGAAGGAAAAGAACACTGGGAACTGGTAAATTCTCTGCCCAGCTCCTTATCAGGTACTTTGGCAAGCAGGGCTGATAGCAGTGAAGTGCACCAAATAAAAACATTTCCTTTACCTTTGCAGTCATCCCACAGTTAAATGTCAAAGTACCTTTTACTTTGGCTGCTCATTCCACCAGTGACCCTTGCAAGATCACTCTGTGACACCAATGGTAAGAGGTTAATGGCAATTGCTCCCTGAGTTTCATCTTCATCCAGATTATACAAGGACTTCACTGGGAACAAGAACGAACTGCAAGGAAAGACAGACAACCTCTTGTTGACAAACTCAGTTCTCAGCGACAGAGGCAATTACAAATGCTTAGCCTGTGATGAGCGTACCCATCCACCGTGGGGCTGAGATCCACCACAAAGTCACTGGGAAAGTCCTCCACCAAACTCTTCCCAAACTTGTCCTATAAAGAAAGGAAAAAAACCTGCTCAGCAAAGGGGATTCATGAAGAAAGCTTCAACAGCAGCAGCAGAAAGTGCAGAAGATAAGGCCAAGGAAAAGGATCCTGGAACAGTCACAGCAGTGAAGCAAACTGCCTGCGAGGAGAGCCAAGGCCTGCCTTTAGAGACGAAGCCAGGAAATATTGCTAAGCATGCACAACCAGTTTCTCCCCTGTTCTTTGGATGTGGGCTTGTCTACAAGTTCCACAGTGATGCAGAAGCAGAGCAGCTTGCTTGAAGAGGAAAGCAGCCATGGGAAGTTCTGTGTCCTAATACCACATCACCAGAATGAAATGGCTAGAAAGTGCTGGCTAAGATTTTATTCCACACAATGTGTCCCACAAACTTCACATGTTAGAAACAAGGGAGATAAAAAGTAATAGGTTTGACAGAGTCTGCACAGACAATTAAAAGACCCAAAAAGCCTGAACAAAAATTGTGAAAACAACCTTAGGTTGCTTTTGCATTTTAGTCTTTCAAGGAAAAAGGAGAAACCCTCCATCCCTTTCTTTCCCTCCTTGGAGAACTCAGCTGGAAGTCAGGAGCCTGGCATTTCTAGCCCTAGGCACAGATATGTTTAGACTGCCAGCACTTCGCAGCTCCCTGGTCACCTTCCCTCGCTCCATAACAAGCAAGTGCAAAGAGAACTTGTGCCACTAAGAGTGATCAATGCCACAGTAGCTGCCAGTGCCCTCCTGGACCGCAAGATGGCTTGTACCTTCCTGCCAGGTACAAACCACATGCAAAGAGTCCCCAGCGAGAAGAAAGAGCTGTCCAGTGGCCTTCACAAACCTCCTCCTATTACCATAAATACCTTTTTTTTTTTTTTACCACAAATGACTGTGGCTTTTGCAAGTCCTTTGCCATCAGATAGCCTTAATAGCCTGACCAGAAGCCAATCTCAATACAGTTTTTTCAGATTCTACTTTGATCTATGAATCTTAAAAGCAGGCTTTAAAAATGTCATTTAGTTTCGTCTAAAAGGTTTCCCTGTTGTCATTTAAAAGTCAACATAAAGGAGGCTGTTGAAGCACAGTGAAGAATCTGACACAACCAAAAAGAGCTGAGAGCTGAAAGAGAATTTTTTATCTGATCAGTATCTTACAGGACCTTAAGCATGCCTAGATCATGTTTCTGAAGAACTCATTTAAGTGATTAAGTTCAAACTACTGTGCAACATACCAGGAGCTGCAAGTCCAGATTCCCCTTCTGCTTCTCAATCAAATTGGCAAATTCATCATAGCACAGAGCCAAGACCTCTGGCGTTTGCTCACAGCAGATGCCCACAAGGTCCAGCAAGTTAGAAAGCTGAAAGGAGAGAGAACAGTCTGCAGAAATGGTCATAGTAAATGGTTCAAACTCAAGCTTTTATCTTGAGTCCCTTTTATACTAATTTACTCTGAGGCATATCCAAAACTTCAATTCTAAGTAACAGCCCACGGTGGTTTAAAACCGAGTTTTAGAAAGGGACATGGTCTTTTAAGGTGCTAGTCCAGCTCCACCATGAAAAAACAAAAAAGAGCCTGCCCAGGACCACCCTCAAATAGAGTGCCAGCCTAGAAGAAGGTTCTTCAACAGGAAATAAGGAAAAATGGTTCAATGTCCACTTGGAGGCCAGTA